CAGAGCAAGAGATAAAAGAAAAGACCGCACTCCACTCCGATCCCCGTAGAATTGGGCATTTGGCGCTTCATATATGGTTCGTTAACTTGTGAATGCAAAACCCCTCTTCCCTTGCGAGTCTTCCCCTTTTCAAGTAATGGAAAGCCTCGAAAGCAATAATGATGATTCATCGCCATGCGGAATGTGAAACCTGCCTGGGATAGCTAAACAACAAGGCCCTCCAAAAGACGGTAGACGCTTTGTTTCCTCATGAATCAACAATAATTGCGAGGGTCACATTCAATCTGTCAACCGAGTTAGCTAATCATCTACAAAGACCACCATTCACCGACGACTTGGCAGATAGCGATATTGGTGCTCAAATGATACGTGATTTCGGAATTCTGCTGTCTTTGGTGATGAAGAAGTGATATTAGTCGCGATTTGACGCTGCCAGCATACTGACCATTTATTGTTCAAGAAATGTAGACGGCTTTACAAAAATCATCTTCCTTGATTACTCTAATAAGATTAAAAAGAACTCGAAATTCAATCCATGTCGGACCAAGAGATTTATCTAGGTGGCACTGGTAAAAATGCGGGGCTTTCCCACTTCATCATAAGAATAAGGAGCCATGCAAGAACAGCTGGTTTTTGATCAAGAGAGCACTTATGGAGATCACACATTTCAATAAGCCGGATCAACAATCCCTGGCATACGATCATTAACAAAGGTTAGAGATAAAAGTCAAGTAGTAATTGAGCGGCATAGCATTTTTCCAAAGTTCCACAGCAACGCACTCGATTCATTCTTCAGTCTTTTACTTGGGTAAATTCTTATTCCGTTTATGTGGTGCTAGCAAATGGTCTTCGTGTTTGCATCACCCCCCATTAAACGCAATGTTAGTTTTAGAGTACCTGACGTTAGTAATAGCTCTGTTGGATGCAGCAAAATCTCCGTAATTTCTTTCAACTTGGGATGCCTGGATAATTTTGAGTACCCAAGGAATGTTTGAAAGGACGGCCAATGAAGCTTTTCATTTACAACTCCTTGAGCTGATTTTTTTAAAAATTCAACGATGCCCAAATTATGGTCCGCAACATTCCCTTGGTTTCACAACACATGAAAATTTTGAAGCAGTCAAACCCTTTGCTTTGAGTCAAGTAACAAGCCATTACGAACAACCCTGTTCACCAATTCAACTTCCTTTACCCCATGCAGTTTTCAAAACCACAAAAATGAAGAGGGACATATCGAGCAACTGCAAGCGATGCCAAGGATAATAAAAATTGTTGACCCTGTTTGAATCCATAACCTGGCATCACCAATTAAAAATTAACATTATTGAAATAACTCATTCCAACTTAACGTCATTATAGGCCCGATCCGAGTCTGTGCACGCACCCAGGCCTTCTGCCTCATGCCTATTCTCGCATGTAAAAAGATAATGCCCACGTAC